GACACAAAGACAGACAGACACAGTGACAGACAGACAGGCCGCTACACAGACATAGAGACACACACACACACAAAGAGACAGACTGACAGACAGACACAGACAGAGCTTTCTTCTGAAAGCTGCAGAGTTCTTCCTTGCTCATTTGTGTAGAATTAATACTTTGAATATTTCTGCACCATAAAAACAGAGAACAAAAGTCTTTAACTCCACAGTTTCACCCAAAGCAGAGGAAAGTCACCACAAATGACTGATTTTTCCACCCCAGCAATGAATGTGCTTCCTGTAAAGCTGATACTGAACAAACAGAGCTTCTCTTTATGCCTGTTCTCATGGCGAGACGTTCTGGAAACAGGTCATGGAACTGTTTAATAGCAAAACAAGACAGTCATGTTGATCAAAAGTGTTTTATGTTTTATTAGAAGACACACAGAAGAAGTTATACAGAAAAATGTAGTTTTTAAAAACCATACTGAAATGAAACATTAAAGTCTTCATCTCCCCCTGGATTTTCTTAGCTTAATGTAACTAAATATGTTTTTCTATTATATTGTCTGTGTGTGTTCTATCTCTTATATCATTATAGTGTTTTTTTGACATTGTAGAATGAACATTTTGTTATTGTTTGTAAATAGTACTTTACCCTAGTACTTCCCTACTGAGATTATAGCTGAGTAGCCCTTGAAAAACTTACTGATATACCAATTATAGGTCATATAGTGTGGTCCAGACGTTGATGGGAAAGTGATGTCAGACTCTCATACCCACTGTACAAAACAATTCCAGATGTTCAAATTATTTTCTTATCTTCAATCATCAAGAAAGTGTATTTGTGTCTGTTCCCAAACCGCTGACAGGATACATAGGTGGGGAGAAATGTGTTGCGAGGGTGTGCATGGTGGATAAATGGTGAATGCAGCATCCCTCAGGTTCAATTTATATGCCGTTAAAAATATACACAGATGTTTTAATGAGTGTCAGATAAATATAACTAGTATGAATCAAAGGTTCTTTAGACAGTGACACATTATTTCCTGCACTTATATGCATTTTGTATCTATCTGCATCCATCATCAGTTTCCACGATAGTGAAATAGATCACTTTGTAAATGCTGAACCCTGTTGATGATCGGCTCGTCTCATCTGGAGGCTCAACAGTCACAGAAAACTAATCAAACTGATGTGTAATTAACTCAAACACACTTGTGAGCAGAAGTTGTGATCTGCACTTGCATGTAACAATAACCAGCAGTGAAACCACAGGCATATATGTAAAACATTTATTGTGTGTACAAAAAGTAGTTCAACAACAGTTAATCATGAATGAAAACTGACATTTAGCATGCCCCCACCCTCCCTCCCTCCCTCCCCTACATGAACACCAGGTCTTTGCTTTACTGATTAAAACCTGATGTTTACAGTTCATCGGACCTATCACAGTCACATCTACGCATAGTGGAGCAGAACTAGTCAGACACAAGACATCACAGTCCCTCCAGGTTATGACAGGGCAAAAACTCAAATTTAATGTTTGCAAATCAGCTGCAGAATGTGACTGTTACACTTGGAATTCTGCAAACTGATATGCAATGACAGCGTACGAATAACAAATAACTCCTCAGTCAAAGAAGTCATTGTTGTTGACATTCAAATTGAATTGTTTGGCTTTGGTTTGTGAAATTGTCTATATTAAATGAAATTATATATATTAAAAAATGCAGTGATGGGTACTGCAATGTAGAACTGGCAGTTTCACCAGTTTAGGAAATTAAAACAAATCTCCTGCAAACATTGCAGGCATCAGTTGAATTTACATTCATTCTAGTGGTTTAACTGAAATACTGGATTCCTGAAGGGACTGAATTATCAGCTTATAGTAAAAAAATTTAATACACAAAGTCTCCATTTTTGAAGAGAGCTATTTAAATCAGATCAGTATTAACTCCAAAGTCAGTCAGTCTTACAATGCCAGACATAACCTATATTGAATGTATTGAGTTGGTCACTCATCAGTTCTTAGACAGGTAGTAATTGCTTCTGCCAACATGAAACTCATTAAATGTTTTTCATATCCTTCAGTAAAAGACTCTAAACTCACAAAAGAACAGTACAGGAGTAGTGTTCACTATTGTTTTTTATCAAAACCCTGAAATATACCAGAGCCAAAGAGTGAGCACCCGGCCTCTTAATCACCCCAGAAAATCCGAAATACAAAATAAATGAAACATTTTATGTAAATAAACTGATTACATAGTCAAAAAAGCTATAGAAAAATAACTAGCATTGTAAAGCACAGCATACAAACACACAAAATAAAAAAACTGAGTTTCCCAAGATGGCACACAAGGGTGTAAGAGCAACACTCGTACAATGTTATGCAATTCAAAATAACTCATGAGTACACAGAGGTAATATCACTGTGTCACACTGTATCATACTAGTGTTGCTTTCACTGCTCACCTCATGCATATTAAAAAAAATGGAGGCAATGTTGTCAGTTAAACATTTGCGGTGGACAAAGCCAGTCACACGGCTGTTATCATTTCAGCATTACAACAGGGGGTCAAGCACCAAACCCACATCCATTGTAACACCTGCCACTTTACAGACCCTCTGTTTTGAGAGCAGCCTTGTTTGTTTCAAGGAGGACCAAGTCAGCCATTCTGTCGTAACATAGTATCAACAGAACTGGCATGTCCGAGAAACACCTGAACACGAGTGACAAATTCAATGGCCGCAAACATGCCCACTTATCATACAGCACAGGTCTCTGGTTGAGACACTACGCTCTGCATTGCTAAGTTACATGTCCTGATCACCAAAGTATGTTCAGTTTCGCTTCCCTGGATTTCTTTATGTTCTTTGTTGCAAGTCTTCAGATTCTGCGCGTTTGAGGTTTTCATCCCAAAATATTAGCATGAATTATTGGATACGCCCCTAATGTCACCAGGCAAGCAGGAGGAAAACAAAAGGGCTCCCAGGTAGCACAACAGATCTTCAAGCTTGCAACTGGGCTCACTGGGCTGGCGTCAGTGAGGTTACTGCCAGGACAAAGACCAGACCACAGAAAGGCAGCAGAGATCGGCCACAACATTTAAACATTAAAACTTGTTTTCATGATGAAGGTGATCAGTGTAAACCATGCAACCAAGGGAAAAAAGTTCAAATACAAACTGAGTTTGTTACTGATGGTTCAGAATGCCTTTCAAACAGGCCACATATATACACTGATCAGCCTTTTATACCAATAAAGGGTTGTAATGGCTAATCAGTGTATAATTGCTGTCACACTTCAAAGGTGCTGAGTCGAAATAAATGTAGTGTTTCTGTTGAAGAAGAATAGGCCGTGCAGTAGGGGGCCCTTCCAGCTAAAAGCAACAGTTCAAATCTTAGATATCACATGACTCCAAACCGTTCCATTAAGTTTCAGATGGTTGTCTCTAGTTTCATTCAGTTCTGCCAAGTAAGGCCGATCAGATGAACAATCAAGTTCCACTGCTTTCTTTCCAGAGGTAAAGCAGAGTGAAGGAACAGGAGACAGAGATGGCTGGAGTGGGACCTGCTTCAGGAATGTGATCAGGATTCTGAGAGCAGGTCATGTAATGACAAAGATTTGGATTATGTATTCTTAGTGGTCTTCTACTGCAGTCAAACACACGCTACGTTTTCTTCAGGGGGAATTATGTTTTTAGCACAATTACAAATGAAAGCCAAATTTTAACAGGCTTTGATAAATGAATGAATGCATGCCCAATTACAACTGTATTTCTATTTATCTTCAAAGAGGGGGGAATGATAAGATGCAAGTAAAATGTGCAGAGAGAAGTGTATCTGGGTAACCACACATACACGCCATAGATCGGAAACAACGCAAGACCTTGTGTAAAAAAAAAAATGTCTTGATTTTGGAGGGAGAAGACATTCTCATCACATGTTTAACACTTAAGTTATTCATTCATTCTATCTTTATGGCTATAGATAGGAGGTCCTTATCTTAACAACAAAATGTTCTCTTTAGTTGATCTAAATCATAACGCAAACTGAAATGTTTGCAATGATGAATGAAAATAATCAGAGCATGTAGATAACTAATAGCAGGAGTGTGAATATTCGGCTGTAACACTACAGCCTGACAGAATGGATCTGTCATCTTTGCTTGACGCACACATGATGGCATTGTGAAGTAACATTTAGGGAAATTATTCATGTTAAAGCAGGCCCAAATATATAGAGAGCAGTAAAAGGGGAGCCTATTTGTCCAAACAGTTCTAACATTGTCTTAGACAATAAAAACACCAAATGATGAAGCAATAGACAGGATCATATCTGATAGAGTGGGGAGTCAAAGCCATCGGCAGAGCAGAAAGGCTTCACATGATGGCACACTCTCTGGATGACACCTTGCCCTGGAGGAGAAATAAAAATGTTCAACACAAACCAAGCATTTAAAGATTCTCAAAGGAGAAATAACTACAGGGTATTTGCTGAATTAGGTTTAGCTAGGTTAGCATAATAAACCGACAACTGAATGTGTATAAAGAGGCAGGATAAGATTATGGGCAAAAGGTTAACCAACAATAAACTATATAATAAAAGTAACAAACAAACACAAAAATAATTAATCAATATAAACACAAGGTTAAACTAGGGCTGGGCGATAAAATGATAAAAGATAATTAACGCAATTTAACTTTTCCTAGACAGAAATATAAGAAATGTCAATACAATGTCAACAGAACTCATTCCATCCATGTTTTGACAGACAACACTAACAGCCAATGATATTGAGAATAGCGCCGCTCCAAACAAATCATGTGGCTGGAATAGAGTAACAACCACATCAGGTTAGGTTGACGCACACAGCACAGAGTGTAGGAGGAGCAGCAGCACGTGTTCATGTTTGTGTGAGTGCAGAGAGGTGGTTGACTCTGCATCAATGCTGTGACTGAACTTAATCGATTCATATTTTCTGTGACGTTCATTGTTTTAGCAGGTTTCAAACGCTGAATCATTATAACCACCGCTGCTACATTAAAGGTCTGGTCATTCTGTACTGAGTCTCCAAATTATCGCAATATGATTGTTTCCATATCACCCAGCCCCAGGATAAACACATAACATATGTGTATTGTGTAATATGGGTATCCTTTCACTTAGAAAAGAAACTGAAAGACAACAACAGCAGCAGGTCCCAGACATGGAACAACTGAGCCATAACATTCAAACCACATCCAATCCATCAGATTACATTTGTCAATGCATATGACTTACAGGTGTAAGATAACTATTGTGGAGAAAAAGTAAAAAAGATAATGAGTAATCAATTTAACTGATTAAAGTTGAATACATAGGACAAATACAGTCCTGAGCTTAAAGCATTAGCCAATATTTGAGTATTAAAAAGTGTATTGAAAAATAACAGTGAGTTAAGTTGACTTGAGGTGTTGAGAAGGATGGCAGCGTGTGTGCACCAACTGCCCTTGTTACAATCAGTACAGAGGGTTGCCTCAAATTAAACATGGTATTAGCTTAATATATATATATTAGACTTTGCACATGATCTATGCATTGAGCATGAACAGATGGAGATCAATTACCTTTTTTTAATAAAACATTATTACAAACAATAAGTATACTCACAGTCTGTGCTTCTTCCTCCTCTTCCTCTCCGTTCTCTACATCCAGCTGAGTCTTGGTTACACTCCTTCTGGCCACCTCCTGCATGACAGACAGACATATCATATATCATATAGTGTGGGGGTCTGTGAACCAAATCAGGGACATGTGAATGTCATGCATTGACATGCACTATACCTCGCCATCACCGTTGATCAAAGAAGTCAATATGTCATCTCCTGTGCCCCAGGAAGCCTGGCTCTTCCACAGCAAGTCAGATGGTGGACTGTGGGCTACGCCAGCATCAGCAGACCATACCTGCATACAGTGTGGTTAAATACATCATGTGGTCTGGAAGAACTTGCAACCTCACCCAAGGCTCAGTGAATAGATTTGAACTGTGATTTTCTCACTCTCTCAGCCAAACCATGTATTGAGATAATCATATGTGAGACAAAATTCTTGGCTAAAATACTTTTTTTTCTTTTCTTATTTTCTTCTTGATTCATTTCTACGTAAAGATGTCAAGAGACACTTTGCACTTTCGTTCCTATTCCTCTTGACTCCACTTTTTTAACCCAATTTCTAGAATAAAATTTCTTATATTCAGACAATTACAGTATAATTTATGTCCAGAGCAGTGGAGAGCTCTCAGCATACATCTCTCTGTTGCATAAAAAATAAGATCTCACACACTCACACAGCTATGTACTTTAGATTTCTCACCGTGACTGACTGCCCAGCCTTTAGGATAAACTTTGGGGAGAACTTGTAGACTATCTCCTCCCCATCATCAACCTGTCTCTTCAACCTCCAGTTGCCCAAAGGCTGGTCCTATAAAACACAACCAAGTTTGACATACAGACTCTTTTCACAACACCAGATCAATTGAAGTATACACTAACACACACATCATCTGCATAGACTAGATATCATCCAGTCTTTTATACCTGCTCAGTATCATTAGTCAGTGTGACTGCATTTCCATCCATGTCTGTGGGTGATATGGTGACCGCTCCACTAGCTGTGGCCTCTTCCGACACTAGCAGCTGCTCCTCTCCTCTTGCCATATCGGGCACTTCCTTAGCATCCCCTCTCTTCCTCTTGGAGGAGCGCGAGGAGGAAGATCCTGTTAACCTGGAAACAGTGACTCGAGCTGATGGGCTGGGGGACAGCTTCAGTCTGAAAGAAGCACAGCAGTCACAGGTGAATTCATGTTAACAAATGTAAGCAGAAAGGACAGCAACCTACTGCCATTCAAAAGACAAATTGAGAACAGCCACCATTAAAGTGACTACTAAAAATAACTCATCTGTTCTCCATAATTCAAATTAATTAAAAAAAGTTAAACAAAAAGAACATAAACATCTTAGGATGAAAAAGAGGTGTGACAAAGATAGGAGACTCGGACAAATGACGTCTTGCCTCCAGAACACCCACTTGCCCAAAGGCTAAGCAGATTTCTGTGTTGTTGTTACCACGCCTAACTGCAGAATTTCCTGCTCAACTCGTCATACTTAAAAGGCAAACTCTGGAGAATGGCCATACCCAATTATTTGGACGTTCTCCAGAGTTCGTATCTAAAAACAGCTTTAGTATGTAGTCATATGTGTTGTACCTGTGCTCCTCTCCCTCCAGCAGTTTCCTGTATGCATTGATCTCCATATCAAGAGCAAGCTTCACATCCAGCAGCTCCTGATATTCACTGAGCTGAGCGTTCATCCTCTCCCTCAGTTCACTCATCTCCTGTTCTTTTGTTTCAATGGCATAACGGTGCTTGTCCCGCTCTGTTGACAGAATTTCTTCCAGCTCTCTGATACGATCCTCTGAGGCAGCCACCTGCAAGCACACACACATATCAACCACCAGCATAATACCCAACTGGTGAAGCAAACTGGCAGTGTATTGCTTGCAGCTGAAATACAGTAGTGTAGGTTATGTGTGGACAGTACCTGTTTCTGCAGGGCGTTCAGCTGATATCCAAGGCTCTCTATTCTCACACGGGACTCCTGCACCTCCTCCCTGGCTGTGCTCACTGCCTTGTCATTCATCTCTGAGGACACTTTGGCATTATCCAACTAAAGAAAGGCAAAGACAGATTATGTGTGAGAGTCAGAGCATCAAAACATAAAGGAAAATTATATTATTATAAAATTATTACTCACCTTGGCCTGGAATGTTTGCTCCAGTTCTTCCTTATAGAGAGAAACTTGTTCATCATGTTGTTTCCTTAGGTCCTGGTGGAAATCACACAAACTTGATTAATGCTAATTCTTAAATCGTGCAAAACTTTGGACTAGGGCTGCAGGATATTAGGAAAACATATGATAAACAGTATACTGTGTAAAAGTCTTTCTGCTTTGATTTCACTGCTAACATAGATCCCATACAGTAAATGGTCTATGCAGACATTGGGGAAAAAAATTAAATGCATTATTTCCACTCCAACAACATGGTTTTATTTAAGAATTCCACCTGGCAACGGACTCAGGGACCCTGTCTGAGTTTAAATATGTGTCCGATCACACTGTGTGTGTGTGTGTGTGCTAGAGAGGAAGAGAGAGAGCGTGTGACAGGCTGATGAATGTGCGCGCTGCTCTGAGGAAAGATTTAACTTATCAAGAATCAGTATCAATCATTATGTGATGATCAGTGTTGATATTGTGGCATTATTTCAATAGCTGTGTGTCACCAGCCTCACGGTTCAGTTACGATTTAGCAGTTAACGATTCTCGATGCATTTCCATGTATCACATGCACAATTTTCTATGTAAGTGCACATGGCTGCATTTTCATTAGTTTACAATATCTGCAACAATGTGTTGAAACACAGCATTGCGTTATAAGCTGCAGGAGTGTATGTTTCTGCCTGTCTCTGTCGCTCTTCACACACAAACTGATAATCACATGTATTTAGTTGTTGATCGATGATGACGGATTATGACTCCAGATCATTTTGTTCACTTTAACCCTGATGTCCTGACTGTGTGCGGCACTCTTTGCAATTCTTTTATATAATCAACAGCTCATAGTGATGAATTTGTTTCCACCGTATAATTTGCTCGGCCACCATACAATTCTTTCTCTCGCTTTTCTCTTCTTCCAACAATGATTCATTGACGGTAAAACTCGTCATGGGTGTTGCACCTTGTTTAGGCCTATGTGACAAATTTGAATTTTTGAATATGGGCTATACAAATCAAATTTGATTGAATTTATTGAATGTATTTTTTTTATTTTAAAGGAATTTCAGTGGTATTTTTCACTAAGTAAGTTTAATGCACTGATAATATTTCTCATAATATTCCAAAAGGGCCACGATCATGGTATCACACTTCAACATTACCCTACCACAAACTGCTGCAGCTCGAAACTCAGCCCCCGACATACCTGTAAAGCTTGTGCCAGTTTGAACTCATAGTCCTGTCTGACTCCAGAATCCACCTCCACGATTCTCTGCTCCTGCCGACGCCGTGATTCACGCACCTCCTGAAAACAAAGACAAAGATAGGACTGCCGTTGGGAAAGATTCTGAGTGTCAGACATTTCACAGGTCTGATCTATCAAAACTACAGCAGGCAGTAATTATTGTTATGGTGAAGTATTTTTTTCTCTTCTCACCAGGATTTTTGCATTGACTGTTATTTAATATGGATTAATTATTTGAAAAATAAAAGGTTTGGCAGTTACAAACACGTCTTACCTCTTCAAACATGCTCTTCCTGAACTCCAGCTCCTCACTCAGTGATTGACAACGGTTCTCCGAGTCTACACGCATCAGTGTCTCTGCCTCCAGCTGGCGCTTAGCAACAGCATGGCTGTCCTCTGCCTAAATGGTGTAGGAAATAAAAAGCACATGAACAGATCAAATCAAGTTTAACTGGCCGACTGATCTTGAGGAATCTGAGTCACAACCCCACACTGATTAAAAGTAAACCTTATTAGGTGTGGTAACAACAATCAAGTACATTTATGTGAGGGAACCAACACTTCGGTACCAAGTCAATGCCAAAGTTCTAAAAACATTAGACTCTTTTTTTGTATGTTCAAATATTTTTAGAAAGGAGTGTGAAGTGAATGGGATTTATTGTTTTGCTAAAATGTTTTGACATTGTATCGAGAATAGTGGAAATTTCATGGTATCGGTATCAACTACTACATTTTTGATATCGTGACATCCCTTATATATATATAAATATCACACTGTACAGGATGGCTCTAATGGAAGTCTGGTCTCAGGTGTGTCAAACTGTATATAAGTTTGACGCATGTCAGAATCGTACGACTACCACATAAACAGATGTACACAAGAACACAGGGACATCTTTAGCTTGTGTTTATCTGGAATGTTCTTGTGTTTTGAAATGCAGCTCAGTAAGGTCTTCTGATTAGTTTCATTCATTGACAGAAGTATTAAAAAAAAGTATTCATTTTACTTTCATCATTTTGATGAGAGAGTGAGACATTTAAATGTTTTTTCCTGTTTGTAGATGTGAGTTGTTGCATTAGAAGCAATACAAGAGTTTTGTCCTAAATTTCTAATGTCGTCTGAATTTTGTAGAACATCATCAAAACTCCAACAACGACAAGTAGTTTGTCAGTTATATTTTTAGATCCTCTTAAATGCACACCACCTCTCTGTAAAAGCACTCAATGATTTCTGTTTGGCTCTTTCTAGTTTCTTTCTTTCCTCTTTTGTTTTTGAGTACATAGTGCAGTACATACCTTAGCCAGCAGGCTCTTGACATCAGCCAGCTCAGAAGTCAGAGCTGCATTCTGGCTTACAGCTGTAGAGAGGGCTGCTTCACTCTTGTGAAGCTGGCCTTCCAAACCACTGGCCCTGGACATTGCTGCAGCAAGATCACCATCCTTCTTCTTGCCACTGGAGATCACACAGACAGAGGAAGAAGACAGTTATTACCTTCAACTGGACACTGTGCCTAAAATATGACCCTGTTTCCAAATACTGACATGGTTGGTCTCCAGACAGATCACTAATAATGTGACCTGTGTGACAATAAGTTGTACTGTATCATATTACCTGCGCGTGGCTTCTTCAAGGTCAGCCTGAGCCTTGCCCAGGTCTATTTGGAGCCTGGCTCTCTCTTTAGCAGTGTCGTCGAGAACACGTCGAGCATCAGCTAACTCTGCCTCATACAAAGCCTTCAGGCCTGTAACCTACAGAGAAGGAGGACAAAAAAATTATAATTACTTGATGGCTATTATGGATGAAAAGTTCAGTTTGGTTGAATTCACATTTGCATGATGAACAATAAATTTGCTATATACTGCCACTCAAAAAGGTATGGAGTTGGATTTTCCATCGGTCCCGATCTGTGTTTTGACCTAAAATTTCAGGGAACAGTTTCTCCCACGCAAAGAAAGAACTCAGTGCTAACCATGTGACTTAGGCACTCAACTCTGGATAGTTATTTTCTCCAGTGGGACCTTTACTGGCACAAGAAACTAGATCATGTCTGGAGCAATGTGTTGCTCAGGAACATTTGCCAGTTCTGCTGGCTCAATTAACTTATATCTTAACTGAAGAGGATTCTCCTACAGAGAAGCTGTGCTTTGACTTCCTAAGTGCATCAAAACACAGCTGTTTCACCAGCATGTCAGAGGAAATGAGAATACTACACGTGACAACTTTAGAATCTTAAATCACAGGAAAAGAGCCAGGTTGTTATTTGAAGGGTTCAGCTTTTACTTTCTGTTGCCCTGCAAGCTTGAGGTCAGGCTTTCCCCTTGAGCAAATAGAGGGAGAGCAAACAAAATGGTTGAAACCAGAGGACTACTATGAAGCGAGTTCGTTTGTTTTCAGCCTAAATGTCAGCTGATATCCTCCTAATTACTGCTGCAGTTCTCGTGAGACGAGATCAGACATGATACTCATGACAACTGCAGTAGAATTTAGGCTAAAGATATGGGCCAATGATGCCATTTCGAGTAAAATTTGAACACCAGGGCTTACAGACACTTGGATGACACCACAGGAGCCGTATGGAGCTATTTTTTGTTGTTGTCTCTGTACGTTTGTAGAAGTGGTCGCTATTTATGTCAATTGTATTGGATTTAGCTGCAATGCCATTTACCTCTGAAACTCCAAAATTGTTATATGGTTTCAAACACGTCACACAACCCCACTCCATCAGCACAGTGGTGAGTAGATAATGAATACATTTTCCTTTTTGGGTGAACTATCACTTTAAAGGGAAGGATAACAGTATGATTATGATTACGTCATGAATATGCCAGTGTATCATCTGGTGAGATTTAGCAAATTTCCAAGCAGGACATAGTTCTCCATTGAAAGTAGCTTGCATCGGTTTCGAAACAGTTTTCAAACATTGACATACATAGAGATAGATATATCAAAGCCACACGTTCTTAAGCCAAAAGAGGCTAAATGACCACAAGCTGAATTATGACCAAGATGGCTGTTGAAAAACCACTCTGATTTTGTTGGTGAAATTATCAACAATTACATTGTAGAGTGATGGGCTGTCTGTACTTATAGATTGTAAAATACACAAGAAAATAAAAGTTTGTACTGAAACAAAGAACCAAGATAAAATGAGAATGAGAAAGTGTGCACAAAAAACCGTATTTTGACGATTTAAAGACTTAGGTAGGATCACCTACTGACACTGAAACAGATGTGGGGAATCGGCCACTCCTACTGCCGTGGTTCAATTCATCTTTACTCATCTGAGCGCCAGCGCGCGCACTCCAACACTCCCTAACTTTATCAACATCAAGCTCGTCGTTGAAGTTACTAAAACACGTAACGTAAAGTTAATGTCACTAGTCCACGTGGCTGATTTCACGGTTAAGCACACAATGAAAACAATAGGTATTATTTAAGTTAACAGGCGCGAACCAGCCCCCCCACTGAAAACTCCCGGCCCCGAGTGCACACGAGCACGCTGAGCCGGACACTGTTATCGATGCTGTGTATCACAACAGCTACACTGAAACTACAGCGTGTAACTGTGCACACAGACCATCTCCAGACAACTTCCAGTCACTTTACACGTTTCATGTTTATGCTACTTCGAGTCGGTAACAGCACGTGGGGGTGCTGTTCAGATACAGTCACTGTTAACGCCGTGGAGCTGCGCGAGGACCAGGGCGAACACTTTCTACTCCGGTCGCTCTCACCTCTCGAGTAGACACCTCCTCTTTCTCGGACACTTTGACGATCAGTCGGTCATTCTCCAGCTCCAAGGACCGGACACGGTCGATGTAGACGGCGAGTCTGTCGTTCAGGTGCTGCAGGTCCTGTTTCTCCTGCAATCGAGAGATCCGGGTCGGGGAGAGAGGAGTAGAGGCCGCCGGCCGGCCAGCTTCACGACTTGGAGTTGCAGTCGCCATAATGGTTCTTTCGATGATCCGGAGTTTGCTTCACCGCTAAAAGCGAAAATAGAAAACAAGCTTATCCGCTGTTTTCGTTGAATGAGAACAAACAAACGGCGTATCTCCCGAAATGACGATACGGTGTCTTTCAATGAGTCGCAGGACCATGCAACGCCTCGGACAGTTGCATGAAGCAGGGTTGTGATTCCAAGATGGCCGACGCCGCTATCAAGACCGCGCCAAAAGCAGGGGACGCTTCCTGACTCGCAATGGATGATGGGAGAATGGTGAGCTCAGGAGACAGACCTCTTTCAAAAAGCTGAGACACAGACACTGGTCGTCCTGTGTCCTCATTGTCCCCTGTCTGTCCTTTCTCACTGAAGACAGACCGCGCACACTACGATGTGCTCCATGAGGCAAAAACAATACAATTTATACATTGTGTTTTGTATATTTATGTATATAAACTATATAGCTACAAGGGAAAAGGTTTTGTTTATTTTACATTGCAGAACACAAACGATCCATCCAGATTTAAAATCCCACTTTTGTGAGGAAATCAGACATCCAATTTTAAGTTTTATCTTATTAAACATTATATTTTCTGATTCGTCTTGCCCATTATCTCTGACATAATCATAAAGGATGACATTTCTGGTCATTGTCTACAATAAGAATGATCCATCTATTGTCTACAACCCTTGATGACTGGACTGGCAAACTGCTCTGGTGTTACAACACCTGCTGACCAGAGCTCCCGAAAGTCAACCACACACCTGACTCCTCCAGAATGACACATATATTTCTGGGTTTCTTGGACAAAATTCTTGTTTTTCTATTTTTGATGATGATGAAATAAAAATGTAATTTTAACGATTACTCAGATACTCTACCATTACTGACAATAACTCTTCAATTGATTTACTGTCCATTATGTTACAAACTGTTGTAAATACTGTTATTTTGTTGATGTTTTCAGTTAGAGGGATCCCTCACATGTGGTGCTCTCTGCGGTTTCTTTGTTTTTTCCCTTGTTAATTGCTTTTGGGTTTTTTTCCTTATTCTTGTTGAGGGTTAAGGACAGAGGATGTCACAATTAAGCCCTATGAGATAAATTGTGATCTGTGAATATAGGCTACACAAATAAAATCTGATTTATTGAACTAGTTTCTCTGTTCCTGGTACTTGTCCCCTAACCTTCTGCTCTATAGTTCAACTAGAGGGGAACTAAGACGGCACATTTTGCCAAGGTCCACTAGTCCAATTACAAAACCACATTTAATTTTACTAGATTTTTATTTGGATCTGCACTGAATTGCTTAGCCTCATAAATATCCTTCTCCTAAATGTGCCTAATATTTTTCAACAAGATCCATGGATTATTCTCTGCAAGATCAAGAAATGTTTTTAAAATGTTAAGAAAGATCTTGCAATGTTAAGAAAGTGAAAAAAACAAACACTTAAAGATTCAGTGTGTAAGATTGAGGTGAAAGGGATCTTTGGCAGAAATTGAATATAAAATAATTCTAGTGATGTTTTCACTGGTGTGTTTCATATAAATTGTATGAACTGTTGTTTTCTTTACCATAAAATGGTCCTTTTATATTTAAAATCTTTATATTTACATGGAGGGAAACCAGCCACTAGGTACACACTTTTGAGTAGCTCTAGTGCCGGTCCCAAGCCCGGATAAATGGTGAGGGTTGCGTCAGGAAGGGCATCCGGCGTAAAAATTGTGCCAAAACAAACATGCGGATCACAAATAGGAGGGGTAGTGGATATATTGGCAGATGATCCGCTGTGGCGACCTTGATAAGAGAGCAGCCGAAAGATGAAGATATTTACATGGAGGGGGTCCTCTCTTTGGAAGCCGGCATGTTTTTTACTGTCGTCCAAACTGGACAAACTAAACACCTTTTGAGTTTTCGTGACAACTGAAGTTCACCACAGGTTCTCTTTCATATTTGGAAGGGGAGGGTGAAATGATGGGTATTCAACTGCAACATGAAACTTCACCTCTAGATATCACTAAATTCTACACAGTGTACCTTTAAAACACATAGTCATCCCAGATCATAGACTGGAGCAGATGTTTCATATTTTACCAATGCATTGCATGCTTTTTCTTGGTAGGCCCTGGTAGTATTCTGTGTACATTTCGATGAGGCACAGACACAAACAAAATGTCTTAGTGAACATTATCCGAATTATCTGAAAAGTACATAGGTAAATACATAGGTAGTCAAATATTGCTTTGATAACTCAATGTAGGTGATGTATGATGTCTTGAAAACTACAAGAAAAGTATTTACATTCAAGACAACATCACAGGAATGCCTTGACTTTAATTCAAAATTCCATTTCACCTTGACTTTTGACTTTTTACACACACTGTCCTAAATGGCTAATCTTATTAACTTCTCCTAAACCATGTCAGAGAGTGTATGTGTGTGTGTGTGTGTGTGTGTTGTCTGGGTGTGGTTTCCAGTTTTCTTGCTTGCACCAGTTTCTCTACTCACATAATGTATGTCTGCTTTTGTACTGTGTATTTTACCAGTTGTCTGTTTACCTGCCTTGTATCTTGTAATAAATAAGAAGTCTGACTGTAGGCCTGTTCATGCCATCATAAAATATCCTCACTGAATCTGCTTGTCTGTGAGTCTTTCCCATGTATTCATATCAGCCACGACACGTGTAACATTGCAAAAGTTACAGAGCATAAAAAAGGCACATGTTACAGGTTTGTGAAGATTAAGTGCACGCCATGGAAGTTTCATCATAATTCAATAAGCAAACTTTGATCCCGTCTATCATAGGGCCAATATACAAAGACCAACATCCATTCTTACATTCAAACTTATGCACCATTTAGAGTATCCAGTTAGCCTAAGCTGCTTGTCTTTGGACTGTAGGAGTAGAAGTCCAGAGCAGCTGGAGAAAACCTACACAGACACAGGGAGGACATGCAAACTCCAGACAAACAGGTTTGGGTGGACCGTCAGGTTTGAACCCAGTATATTCTTGCCATAACTCCATACCAGCATACTTGACAAAATGACAATTAATTTTGTATTCATTCTTATAGTTTAAAAAAAATCTATGAATTAGAGTCATCAAGCAAAACTTATGTGACACATATAGATGTAAGTCCACAGACATCCACTTATTCTGTATTCCTCATTAGACATCTCATTGAGTTGTGATAAAGTTTGGTGTCAGTGAGGGATAAGCTTCAATCTCCTAACAAACACACTTGTAGGCTTAATAATCACTAAGCAGATGGTGCGTACATATGGTCAAACGTTCAAGTTCGTCGGCTGGTAAATAAACAACAAAAAAAATCACACAAAACTGAATTTCTCACATTTCTCTGATGCCAGACATAGCTTGAGGTTCATGTGCTACTGAGGGTTTTTTTTTGTACAGTGAATCGTAATGGCTATTGCATAATATGGGGTGGTTACTGATACCTGATGTGAATGGTAATAAAAGGTGTTACACACCTTACATCTTACACATTTTATACATATCTTCACTTTACAAGAGAACAGACTATACACCCTTGTTCAATGTCATTAAAATGTAAAATAGTACCATCTTACAATAGTTGTGATGTTTTTAAGTCTAGTGGAAGGTGTTTGTGTTGTTGCTTTTTTTAGCAACACATGCAGGAACACAGAGACCCAGTGGAGATACTTCATTGAATGAACTAAAGCTGGCTTTCAGGCAGACAGGTGGATAAATAAGAATTCAGACAGGCAAGCAGAAAACAAAACACATCAACAACAAACGCATAGGCAAACTCAGGGAGGGGGAACTCAGAGGTTGTGTCCGATGTCACTTATTCTGTACTTCCTAGCACTTCCCAAAAGAGGAGGTGAGGGAAGGTGAGATGATTTCCAAATATTTAAAAATGTTTAAAAGTAAGAAATTCTGTCTAAAAATGCATCATCTGTCCGATTTTCTTTGTCCCCACACAACCTCTAAGGTGCTTAAGACAGATTAGTGACAGCATCAGCTGCAGCAGGGCAATTTACAGCCCCACAGGAAACACTATGTGCATGAAGATGATAATTTTTTTCTTTGTTTATGAACTACTTCCCTTTTGTGCTTCAACCAAAGCCTGGGATACAAGGAGTTATAAGTCTCTGGTGCATTTATTTTGGAGGCCGGCGTGTGGAAAGTTTAGGAACCACTGGACAAGGGCAATCAATGTAGAGGTCATTTTCTCTGTGCCATTAATTACATCTTTCAAAAAATTAGAACTCACCACTTCATTGAATAAATGCATGACATTTTTGTGATAAATACATTACACTGAGCATATTATCCAAAATTAAGAACTACAAAACATTTAGTGTAAACTACACCTTTCAGTTCTTTCAATTGAAGGCTTTTCTTTTGAACTGAGGCACATCTGAAGCTTTTTAAAATGCTTTGTTCTGTATTTTTTACTGTCATGTTTTATCTGTCCTATTCTGTTTTTGCTTCTCTTTTTATTTTCCAATCTGCAATAAAAATTTTTTATCTGAGTGTCTGTGTTTCATTCACTTTTGTTTTGATGCGTTTTACGTCATAAGTAAACAGTTCAAGTGAAACAGAAATGTTTTTTACAGGGCAGCTCACTAATGAAGGGTGTGCTGACTTTTGTTGCAGTGGATTATAACATGTGGAGCTTTCACTCTAGTTTAATTGGTCAAAACATTTCTACAGACAAACCTGAAAGTGGAAATAGCACTTGTGACACAGCAGCTTTTCCTGTCTCCCTTCATTTCTTCCTTTCCTCTCTCAGCGAGGCCAAGAATTCCTTTATCCTCCCCCATCCCTCCATCTCTCGTCCACCTCTCCTTTTTCCTGAATGTATGCTTCTCTTCATTCAGAGTTTGCATTCCAGCTGTGCACTTTCTGCTGCCCCCTTGGGCATGTCCTGAGAAAAGCAATTCATTTCATGACAAAATATGTTTTTGTTAATTACAAAATAGGTTGTACTCAGATGTCTCTATAAATTAAAATATGTTTTTTAATTATTTGTTTAATAATGACAACTCACATTAACTTTTCTATTAAAATGCTTAGACATGAATTCACAACAATAGGCCAATTAGCATAATTTGTGTTGGTAGAACATTTTTAATGCTGAGAGTGTTCAGTTCAATGTCTCGCCAGTTCAAACTGTTATGAACAGCTAAGTTGTTGCTGTGGCTTTCACTGTCCTTCAATTAATGAGCTTTGGGTAAGTCAGTTACCACTTATCACAGTTGAGCTTACAACAGTGTATTAACCAAGGAGCTGCAAGATGTGAGAAGCTGCTTTCGCTTTGATTTAGTTGCTGACACTTTTAATTTGGTGTCATCAGTTCATCTAGAAGATTCATCTTTTAAGATTTGTTACCTGCACCGATAAATCACAAACATTTTCAGCTGAGTCTGTGTTTCTTTGTTTATTTGACGGCTTAATTACACATAAAGTACTGAACCAATTGTCACCGAGCCTGGTGACCGGATGGGGTGTTAGGTAGAGTGAGAAACTTTTGGTTGGGATCTGGCAACAGGAGTGTATCTGGAAAGTTTTTATAATTCTCCTTAACATTGCGAAGAAGGGCACTTTTCTACAATTTCCCCAATTTCTGAAAAATAACATTTGGACCTTGATGTAAAAATTAAAAACATTTTATTGTGTTGATCGTTGAGTTCGAAGATTTTGGTTAATTACTTTTACAAACTAAATATAAACAAGTACTTCTAATCTGTCAAAAAAAATCATATTGTTAAAAACACAGCTTTGGTGCTTGGATCCGCAACGAACCAACAGTTACCTCCTCCTCGCCAGCAGGGGACCCTGTTGCACAGATTTTGCAGAAGTGTCTTCCGGGTCAGACCGTGTATTACCCCGC